TCACCCCATTCTATTCCCAGCACTTTTCCTGCATCCTGCAGTAAAACACCAGTGACGCTGCATTTTTCTGAGCTCAGGGCATTTGAAGGGATGCACAATCAAGGAAATTTTCATTTATGGATCTTGGAGGAATTTGGGATGCCCGTGTCTTACTGTGGGCAATTCTTTGGAGCCACTTTTCCACTTTTCCCAGTTTCCACTAGAGGGGTTACATGTTCTAGTTCAGAGTGCTGCAGCAGCCCAGGATAAGATGGAGCTGCTTCTTGTCCACCTATATTTTTAACTGCTACAGTTAATTCACAAATACAATAATGAGCTGCCAGTACTAGGGCTGGAGGCCTTAATAATCATTACAAAAATCATTAATTACCAGGAAATTAGAGAGGTGTCTGTTAAGTGGTTAAATTTGCAACCTTCTGTCCACAAACAAGAAATCCAAACGCTTGCCTGAATCATAGCTAACTTCCCACACATTGCTTATAAGCTATATCTTGTTTATTTCTGCATATATTACTCTCAGTAAATGATTAGATTTGTCACCCATGACCCCGTATGCTGTTTGCAATTATTTCTTTTATTAAATTAATCACCACATATTTACTTTGAGAAATTATGTATGATATCTATCGACGCACGCATGTGTATGAGAGTATGTGAGCACATGAACTTCCCTGATTGCCTTTCCTCTTGTGCAGCAAATTAAAAATAACAGGCATTAAAGCTGGCAGAGTTACACTGACAGGGAAACCAGCTCAGAGGGAGGGGGGAAATTGCTATATAGAGTTTTTTTCTTTTGTATTTTAAGTATTTCTACTTATGCATTGAATTTTAATGATCTGGACAGTCTAATCCTCACTAGCAGATGTATAAACACTTGTGGCTCTAAGATTTAAGGGTGCTGGTGTGGACTGCACTCAGCTTTGCTTTTTCCACCTCCCACGTCTTGTGGAGGTGCCTGTGCTGGGGGGATCTGCAGACATATGGGCCCTCACCATCTCCCTGGCACTTTGTGCAGCACTAGTACTGCCCAGATAACTGCTTTGCAGAATCACATCCTCTGTGAATTACTTACTGGGGAGAGGAATTCAAGTGGCTTGCCACTTTTTGCAGGGGAATAGCAAGGCTCTCCTATCTGCAATGGCAATTGAAGTAGCTCATTTTCTAGGAAAACTAACCCTTATGGTATATATGGAAATAGGGCTTCCATCAGGCTGGGCTGTTGTAAAGTTGGGGTTTTCTTTTCTTTTCTTTTCTTTTTTGTTTTGGTATGGTTTGGTTTGTTTTTTTTTGTTTTTGTTTTTGTTTGTTTTGTTTTGTTTTGGTGTTTTTTTTGTTGTTGTTGTTGCTGTTCGTTCGCTTTTCTTTTAATAAAAGCATTCCTATTTCTGTTTAGTTTCCATGTAATCTTTTAGACATTTCATCCTATCAGATTTCTGTCCTGTCTTGTGCTTTACTTTTCATTGTCATGCTTTCTCTGGCTTCTCTGAACATAATTTCTTCTGAGAAGAATTCAGCCCCAACAGCTTCTGAGCTGAATTTACAGATCCATTGTATTTGAGCGGGTTCAAAATGAGACAGAAATACTCACTTCTAATCTGTTATATCTCTGAGGTGCTAATTAGTTTGCCACCTCTTTTTTGCCACCCAGTTCAAACTGGCAACCCGAATGCTATGAGAAATTCTTTTAATGATCTTCTAAGAAAATGATATGAAGTAATTTACTTCTGCAACAAGTAACTTACTTTGGGAAGGGGATCACTGAGACCAAGATAGTTGTGATAATGTGGATTTCACAACCACAAACACTTCAGCTGGTAAAGAAACCAGAATTAAAAGACAAGGTTTAAGCACCCTTGTAGATTCATTACTTTTGTCTGTAAATACCTGGTGTTCTTTGTGCACACACAAAGGGTGGGTTGGAGCCTCCGTAGGTACACACACAAATTCCTTTCCTGACTTTTCCACTCTGCTCCTTTCTCACCTAACAATGAACTCAGGGCCACTGGGTTTCCACCAGCTCAGTAGATGATCTGCTCCGTTTCACCTTGCTGCAAAGCAAGGAGGCCGAGGAGGGAGGGAAGGGGTTTCTGGAAGGGGAAGAACGTGCTGAGCCCGCCCTGACACACCACTCAACCTGGGCTTGGAGTCCTGCATTGTTCTGCCTGTGGGCTGCCTGGACTGCTTCCAAGGACAGCCAACAAAGGCTCGAAGAAAGGACTCAAAACACCACGAGGGAGGGAAATATCTTTGCTAAAGACTCAAATGGGTTTTTGGTGCCTTGCCAGGTGTGCAGGGCAGGCTGCCCAGGGCTGATGCAGCTGCGGGGAGCCCCGGGCTGTCCCCAGCTGTCCCCACAGATGCCACCACTTCCTGAGCTCCTGGGCACAGCCTGAGCAGGGTACTGGCAGGGCAGCAGGTCTGGGGAGAGCACAGGGGACACCCCATCTGGAAAAAAGCTTCTGTGGGCACGAGCTGAGGCTTTCTTTGAAGCTTTTTCTTGGTTACCTCCCTCCCCTCTGCTCCCAACCAAAAATAGGGTTCGCCACAAATGAAAGGACTGCTGGTGCAAACTCTATGGGTTACACACAGACAGAGAGATGATCTGAGGAGAGATTATTTTCTCTATACAAGCAAAAGAACCTCTGGGGGTGAACTGTCTTGTCTTTAGAAATAAAATCAGCAGGAGATCTCTGCAGCCCATAGAGCTGTATTCAGGTTTGATATTCAATTCCAATATTCACCTGAAATTCTGTAAGTTGTTGCTTCCTCTTTTGGATTTAGTGGAGGCTGTTATGACAGTTTTGGTAATAGGTTTCCTTGTAAAATCCCCAACCAAAAAACTTCATTTTGGCCCCAAGTCTGCAATACGAGGATTTGGCACGGGGACTCAGTTTGTAGTTGGTATAATTTATCCATGTTCTCTGTCAGTGAAGACATGTCCATCCTGTCCAGGAGCCCCCAGTTGCACAAAGGCTGTGGGGTGAGTTCTTGGCCAGAAGCACACGGGAACTCCAGCTGTCACCCTGCCAGGCAGTGCTAACATCAGCCGTGGAATTACAACTCTTAAAACGCCCATGGCACCTTCCTGCAGAGGGATGTCTGGGAAACACCTCCCCTTTTAGCATCAAAAATGCCAGCAGCCAGAACGCACCTGAGCAAGGCCAGTTAGCACCTTTCAGGTGCTGGTTTGTGCAGTGCCTCATCCCACCTAGCACAGCTGCCAAGATGATAATCACTTCCAGCCAGTGACATTTTCCATGAATGTCACACTTCGAGCAGGGCGTATTTTATGATCTGCTAACCTTCCCTCCTCTGTCTGTCAGAAGTTGGTTATCATCGATTGGCACTGGCACAACTCATCTTCTAAACAGCCAAGGATCTTTCAATAGCTCCACCTACTTCAGTTCCTGTTTTTAAGAGAAGGGATTTTAAGGCCAGAGGAGTTGTGATGCCTCACTCCACTTCACACAGGCAATGACAGAGATGCAGCTGGAACTGAGCAGGAACCCTGTTGGTTAATTTCTTAGGCTGGGTTTCCCTCTGTATTTACCTTAAGCGTTTTTCCTCCTCCCTTTTCTGTCTGACATCCTTTACTAGAACTTTGCTAATCTCAGGATTATGCAAGGGAGCATATTTCCAGTCACAGGATGCTCACATGCTGCATGGAGCAGGGTGAACTCCAGCTCCATTGCACACTTGCTGCCTGTCACACACACACACAGAGGCACACACAAGCACTGGCTGAGCACTGATCATCAGGGAATTGATTACACCAAGAGGGGTGAAGAGGAGTTGTGAATCACAGGAACAAGCAAGATTGCATTTACCACCTCTGTGGTATAAGTGTCTCAAAAAAAAAAAATAGACAAAATTTCAAAAATGATAAGTTAAAAAAAATTCCTTCAAAAATTACATTAATCTCTGTGCATTGCTCTCTGTGGCACCATAGAAATGGGAATCCTCCCACTTGTCAGCAAGCTACATTTTTAGGAAAAGTGGGCAAGGAGGGTAAACAGGTGGTAGGGGCAGAAATTACAAGTAAAAAAAAATTACTTCAAAAATGACATTAATCTCTGTGCATTGCTCTCTGTTGGGCTGTGGCACCATAGAAATGGGAATCCTGCCACTTGTCAGCAAGCTGCATTTTTAGGAAAAGTGGGCAAGGAGGGTAAACAGGTGGTAGGGGAAGGTAACATGAGAGTAGGAAGGTGATTAGTTTTCAGTGCCATCCCAACTATTCAGGCACTAAATAGATTGTAACTATGAACAAAGAGAGCTGAAATAGGTAAAGATAGCTTTTCCAGCTCGGGAGTGCTTCAGGAATGCTAGATGTTCCTGAGTAAAAACATATTTAATTATTCTGAAAGCCTTGAAAAGTCCCAAAAGCAGCCTACATGGTGTTATCGGTGTTAAAACTCCCTACCTGATGAGTGATGCTCTTCAGGACTCCTTTGTGTCTCCCTTGGTGCCTCTTCCTCTTGTCCCACACCTGGTGTTGACCCTTCTCCCTCCTTCCCCAAGGATACCAGTTATCTCATAGTCACTCTTCTTTTTGAAAACCTCCTTACTCAAAAAGGAAATTTATTAATCAACTGCATCAAGGCCTTCACTGTGAAAGTATCAGTTTGAATCTATGAGAGAGAAAAGGTAATTCCAGGTATAAACAGCTGGTGTCTGGGTGAGAAGGACTCCAAGAATATTACAGTGGGAGAGTCCTTGCTGTGAACTCCTGGATTTGCTCTTTGTCTGCAAGCCTGGCTTCTAATCCCTGCCCTGGATTTACAAATACCAGCCCCGCTCCTGGCTTGGAGGATGAATACAATAGGGTTTTAGTGCAGATTTCTTTCTGAACAAAAGGCCATACTAGAGACCTTTGTTTTCTTCCAAACTTTTTGGTTTGTTTTGAAGTCAGTTGAAAGACAAAAATGCAAACACCCCCCACCACACACACACTAATTCAGAGACTTCTAATTTGTCTGACAGGTTCTTAGTGAGGATTTTAAAAAAAATTTTTTTGTCTAATAGATAATTTTCTGAGTGTCCCAGTGTGCCACTTAACTTCTTGCTTCTATTTTGGTTTCATCCTCGTGGCTGGCCATCTTCTCTTCTGGCCTTCTTTCCTGCTTTGACTCTTCTGCACAGGGCCCTGAGCTGGTGCCAGCAGGAGCTGAACCTCAGGTGTCCCTGCCAGGAGCTCTCCCTGTATCCCAGCACGTCCTGGGGCTGTCTGGTGCTCAGCCGTGGCCCATGGGCTCCTCACCTGCAGCAGAAAGGCACAAGAGGTGTTTCAGTTACCTGGCCAGGAAGGAAAATCAGCCCACTTAAACCGATCCCACTGAAAAGCTGATTTGTACTGGTGAAACTTCAATTTATCAATAACAGCTCTTCACATAAACATTTGCAGAAAGAGATCATTGGTTTACTCATCTCTTACTTTATTTTGTCTGAAGAGAGGCAGTTCTATCAAAATAGAAAAAAGAAAAAAGGAGGATTAAAAATATTTTCCTGAATGACCTTAATTTTTTGGCAAAAGACTTGCAGCCAAGAGTTATGTTTCAGAATGACTAAGAGTGAATGGATGGTGGGACACCTGTTCTTGAAAGCTTTCATGTTCTGCTGTGTGAACTGGGGAAGCTGGATCACCAGTCACATGGCATATGTTTAAAAATATTATTTAAATTAAACTCTTAAAAAAAAATAGCACGTAAGCCTGCAGCATAAGTGTTTGGGTTTTGGCTGGGTAGTTTGTTTGGTTTGGGGTTGTTTTTAATTTTTATCTTTTTTTTGTGAGTGGAGGCACATGCATTTTCTTTGTGGGTTTTGTTGGGGTTTTTTGGTGGCTGAAACTGAGCTCCAGAGAAGCAGTTCAGGGGCACCTCTAAGTGCTATTGACTTTCAGTCAGATAGCAGGTATGTAATTGCTTTTTGAATACTTCTGAATATGTGACATCTAGGATCAATGTATCCAGCACTTGTGCTAAGTTTTGCTCACCTGCTTTGGATGTTTTGGATGCTGAAATCAACATGTTGAAGTGGTTTAGGAATATTTGTGCCTATGACTTGATGTGTGAGATTTGATTCTCACTGGGTTCAGCATATGAAAGCTCTGAAAGGTTTGCACAGCTTTGTGTGTTGATATATTTGTGCTACTTCGTGTTGCTGATATCTGGAAATTCCTAATACTGTATATGATTATTGTTCATGTAATATTAACTCACATTTCTGATCTAAATGAATCAATTACACGAAGCTGCAAAGTTCCACAAATTAGCTCTGCAGTGCATAATGCCCTGATGTAAATCATGGAATACTGATTTTGTGTTTCTTATGTTGCAGACTATTTTCTTACACCAGATAAGCACATGAGAACAGTGAGAAAGCAATGTTTGTTGTGTTGTTTTCTCTCATGCTATTATTTATAATTTCTAATGCCATGTCTTACATCCTGTTTCACAACCAGAGTCAGATACTCTTGTTTAACTGCTGAGGAAGTCTGAACAGTTTGATCCCAAATAAGGGCAGCTCTGACTAGATGCACTGAGAAAATAAAAGGCAAAACCCCAATCTCCTCTCCTGGATGCAACCTGAGTGCCAGAGCAGCTCCCACAGCACTGCACAGATAGCTAGGTTCATTTTGGAGCATCCAGCTGTGAGGTGACACACTTAATGCACCAGTGATCTGATCCAGTATAGAAAATCTTTGGGGCCTGATTCCCCGTGCCTCTCACCTTGTGCAGCCATTTGTAGTGAGCAGCCTGAATGCCCACACACTGGAAAAGCAGAATAGAGAAGATTTTGCACTGCTTATCCTTCACTGCAGACCTGCAGCCACGTGAGCAGGTGTGTGAGGTAAAACAGGCTTTGAGTTCTTAGGAAAATTTTATTTATATGCCATTGGGGTTTTTTTGGTGGGTTTTTGTTTGTTTGTTTGTTTGTTTGTTTGTTTTGTTTTGTTTTCTTTAAAGGTAAAATATAAAGCTATTTGAGCCTTCCAGACAGTGATCTTATGAGCATTCCTCTAGGATACATCCAGAGCAATAGAATATGCACACATAGAAATATGTGCAGGTCTAAGAGTCAGCACAGACCAGAACAAGTGCTAAACCCCAGTCCCTCCTTAGAAATTCAGATGTTGCCAGTTGAAAGGGTTGTTTTCCTAACCCAGCAATCATTTCACAAAAGGAGCTCCAATGCCAATTTTAAATCAATGATTGCCCTGTTACGAACACAACCTCCTCTCCTTTTTGTTTTTATGATAGTAATTTAAGGATATTAGGAGCTGTGTTACTCCACAAAAGATGGTAGTGCAAGAAAACAGCTTTGCATGAGAAATGCTGTAGCAAAAATTGTATATGCTCTCTGATTTTTCAAACAATGATCTCAAATTCAGAGAACAAACTTTGTACTAAGAAAGAATATTTTTGGTTGGAATTTTGGCCATTTTTACTTAATTTTGTTTGGTTTTGCTATGTTTGTTTGCTTTTTTAAGGGTACTATTTATTGCATACATGCTGGGGAATAATCATACAGCAATGTGCTAAATTTTAAACAAGGTCACACCATTTGTTTTCCACACTTATTTTAATATTAATTACTGCACCTAAATACCTATAAAAAAAAAAAAGCTCTATCTTGTGGCACAAACCTTGATTATATTGAAAATTAGAGGTTTTTGGCAATGACGGGAAAGTGAGTCATTTTTTCTGTCCTTTTACGGCATTTTTTTTTCTTTTGTTTTCATTTAAGGAGCACTGTAGAGATAATGATCTTAATAAAACAGTATATACAAATCCCTGTTCCTGTGCTACTGATAAGACACTAACTGCTCAGTCCTGCTAAAACTTACTCACAGGAACTGGCCTCTATTTTCAGAAGTCACTGATTATTTTGATTACCTCCTTTTTTCAGTCAGTCACCAGTTTTAGAAAACGTGGCTAGATGTAAAAAATGAAAGACACCTTTCCTTTTGGAAAGGTCTATGCCACAATTTTTGCCACCTTGTAGAGTGCCCAAAACTCTTGGAAATCACCCTGAAAACCTTGCTGCAGCCTTGGTTTGAGTTTGAAGTGCACACTGTGCACAACCTGGATTCCTTCATGGTCTGAAGTTGCACGTCTGCACCGCCCCTGATGCCTTGGGAAGGCTGACATGGAAGAGAGGCTGGATGGAATTCCAGAATAAAGCAGGGGTTTATTCAAAGGATCTCCTCCATGGATGCACCTCGGGCAGCACCAGAGCCCAGCCAGGGCTGCACCCAGGATGAACCCAAATGGTCCCAAAATGCACGAGCGCTGCCGGGGTCTCTCCCTGGGCTCAGCTCTGCTCCATGTGCACATTGCAGTTCAGTGTCCAACCCCAGCTGCAGCCCCTGCAGTCCCACCCTGCTTGTTTTTCTCTCTGCAGCCCACGGGGTTTGTGCTCCTGGGCTGAGATTGGGATCATTTGTCCTTGGTGCCCAGCTGGAGCAGGAATTGTTTTGTGTCCCTGCTCTGTGCAGAGAGCTCACCTCCCCTAATGTGAAGCTCAGAACTGCACGCTAATGCAGCTCAGAATCTGAAAAATATCAAAGCTACAACCTGAGGCATCATCCTAATAGTCTGCCCTCATTAATTAGTCCTGAGTGACCCTCACTGAGCCATTTCTGATGGTGCCCACACCTAGGCAAGCATCACCACATGGTTCCTCATCCTGCAAGGGCTTCCTCCAGAGGAGGCTCCATGGCAAACACCACTAATTAACCTGGTGGTGGGGTAAACAGCCAAGAAGGAAAGGGGACAGCCAGAAGGTATGCATGAGACCTCCAGCTATCATCCTGGGTGGGTTCTCTCACTTCTGGCAGGCACAAAAGTGAAGTTAATGTTTGGGACTTAATCCTCTCCTCTATCACAATAGATAATCTGTGATTTTAGGATGCTGCCTCTTGGTGGAGAATTCCAGTGTCAATTCTGGTATCCTGCTCTTCTATTAGGGCAGAGTTGGAGAGGCTTAAATGTTTTGATGGCCTCTGTAGCACCAGAGTCAGGGGTGGGCTAAGAAGCTGGATTTGGAAATGGAATATATGAGAATATACATATTTATTCATCTGTTGGAATAATGGAAAGCTTTTGATAATGTTCAGTGTGGACTAAGGCTGAAATTAAAAAATAAATCTGGAACTTTGCCACTGGATTTGTGCCTAGGAAAGAAGCAAACCTAAGTTAAGTTTTGTGGAGTTCAGGTCCTCCTCCTTTTTCCTGGGGAAGGGTTGAGGGGCGGGCTTCAGACGTGAGCTCATTGTAAAAGAGAGATTAGGGAAGATCTGCCCTAAATTGTAGTTTTGTAATCCCTGAGCTGGGCCCACTTAACTGTTTGACATGTGAAAATATTGTATTAATGAAGTTCCAGCCTGCTTCTTAAATCCATCCTTGTGACTGTCTTTATTCATCTGCATGTCCTGATAGATTATGATTATTTTTATATATACAAGTAATCTCATTGAAATCTATGGGTTACCACTGGTAGCATGATAGATGGTTGTGGCTCACGCCTTTAATCCATTATTGAAGCTGAAAGCTGTTTACAGATTCTTGTAATACTTAATTTTTGCTCAGCATGGACAACTCAAAGCAAGTATCTTCACTTTTTCAGCTGGCTTCCTCTTCTCTTTATCATTCCACGTGCCTGCAGTAGTTTAAATTATAGAACGCCACACTGACATTTAATTTAATCAACATTTCCTGTTTCTTTTAGATTTTGTATGCACCTTCCACTAAAAATAAATATATTCCTTATTTAGTTAATAGGACCTAAATGTGGGACCCACACTGCCAGTTGCTCTGCTGAAACATGATTCTATCATTTAATTTCAGGAACCAGCTAATGAGAAACTGGAGAGAGTGCCCTATTCAGGGACACAACAGCAGCATGTTTTATGTTCCCTAGGAAGTTATTTTAATGTCTTTTTGAAATATTATAGATGGGATTCTCTAGTGCCTCTGGGAGAACAGAGACAAGAGCTTCATAGAACCACATTGCTTTAATTTAAGCAGCAGAGGCTTTTCCTACTGGCAGAAATCAGTGCAAGCATCACCCTGATTTTATTACAGAGGAGCAGATAAGGCATGCTGAATGTAAAAGATGAGAGTGGTGCTTGGACTGATTGGGACCACGTAAGGGTGTTCTTGTGCTGATGCTCTCTGATAGGAAAACAGATGTTTGTAAGTTCCTAAGGGGTTTCTTCATTTCGATATGGCTTTAAGGTTATCTCAGTACCTCAATAATTGGATTACTCTGGCACAAAGATAATGTTGTTTTATAGGACTCAGGCTTTGCTGTTCAATGCTGTCCTTTATACCTCTGAGAGGTAGCAACAAACCATCTCCATGTGAGAAAGGTGGCATTTGACCACAGCTCTTGTGAAATGAGTGTGCCAAGGCTCAATGGAGTAGAAAACTGGAGCTATGAATTTTCTAGGAGGATGAGGCAAGAAGCAGCTTGTGAATAGTGGTAGTGAAGGGAAAAAAACAGGGAAAACTAAAGACAGATTAGCTCTGTGTGAGCAGAGAGATCTCTCTGTATTTTTTTTTCCTTAGAATCATATATAAAACTTTAACTTGCAGGTTCAGGGGTGGATGGGGGGAACCAACGTAGAGCTGTGCATAAAACACCTTCACAAACTGATTTTTAGGTGCACACTGCTCACTGCAAAGATGTGTGATACCTTTCATTTCAACACAGCCATGTTCCATGAGCACTAGAACAGCACCAGGCTCAGGCCATGCCTCCCTGGTGCTGGGAAACTGGGAGCTAGCCAGAGCTTTGCCAATTGCACATTTAAAATAGCTAGCAATTTTTACCCAGTAGCCTACCTTTCACTGGGTAAGTCGCACTGAAAATTTTCTTTTGTGTTTTCTTTAGTTATTCAGGGTGGAAAAGTGGCCTGAAGCTGTGCTCCCAGCTGTGTCCAGCCCGTGTGTGCTAACATTCAACATCCTGTGCACTCAAATATGCAGGGCTAAATAAGGAGATGTCTTTAGGTTCTACTAAAAAGCATTTGGTTGACTGAAAATGTTGAAATGAGTCAATGGAGAAATGGCAACATCCTTCCTTTAAATGAAAAAATAAATAAACCCCTAGAATTAATTATTTGCAATAAATAGTAAAAATTAAATGATTATTGGCGTTCACAATTGTTTAAAAAAGTATTTGGAAATAGGATGCTAGAGTCTTTGAGGAATGAAATATCCTCATTATTCTAGACAAACTCAAATGCAGCTGCTAGCAGTCCAATGGGGCTTTTTTCCTTCCTTTCTATCTTTTTTTTTTTTTTGTAATTCTCTTTTCCACTGAACACCTTAATCCTATTGTAGAACTAGAAAAATACAGCTCCTGTGGAGAGCATAATACAATCTCACACCATTGTGCTTTTGATCTTAAATAAAATGCACCCGCATTTGGCTTTTTCTCTTTGCACCAGATTAGTTTTGGACCCAGCCACCCTTATTCCTTTCTTGTGCTGAACTGCAAGGAACTTTATCATGATTGGAAGGAGGAGTTGGCATAAAGTAATAGTAAAGGGGGGGGAAGTGCTTATGCAAGAAAAAAAGGTGTGGGCAGGGTATGAGGGGAAAAGAGCTCTGAAGGATGTGGGGAGGACACCCAGAGCCTGCACCCTGCACTGAGGACACCTTTCTCAAAAGCCTGCATTTAATTCAGAAGAGGCAAGTTTGAGGCTGGCTTAGTGCTTGGGTTTTTGGGTACAATCAGGCCATGGCCCTGTCTGTCCTGCTTGGTCACTGCAGGCCTGAGAGCCATGCTGCTCCCTGGCACCTCTGCAGAAATGCTGCTGCAGAGCTCAGAAGCCCCATTCCTCTGCCAGCCTGGCTTCTTCCCTGGTGTGAGCAGTTATGGGGCCGGCTGGGAGAGCTGATGCTTGCGCCCATCCAGAGCTGGCCCAGCTCCCATCTGCCCTGCTCCCGTCCCACCCACAGGACTCCCGTGGGAGTTCCTGCCACAGAGGTAGGGAGGAAGCCAAGAGAGAAACATTCCTCCAGCTCTTTTCTTTTTTTCTCCTTTTCCCGTCAGAGTTACCACCCTCTCTCACCACTCCTACGGAGAGGTCTGAAGTCTCACTGAATCAGCAGTTGTGAATATTATCCATGCTGTTAATGGTTTGCATCTTTTTGCATGAAAGGGTAAAATCACTTAGGGACACACACACACAGAGAAAAGATCACATACAGTAACATATCCAAGCACGGGAAAAAAAAAAAAAAAAAAGTTGTAATGTTCATGAATTCCAGATGATGACTTTTTAAATCCCCAAGAAGGCAGTGAAATTGTTTGATTGTTCTTGTTAATTATTGGACTTGTCCCAGTATCAAATATTTGTAGAAGATAAGACTTCCCTCGTGGAGATGAATAATAACCGAACTTGCTCTTCTTTGAGCAGTTTGGCTCAGGGTGCAGATTTCTGCCTTTCCCACTCCCAGGCTCCAGCCCCGTCCAGCCGGCTTCGGCGGAGCACGTGTACGAACTGCTCCGTTAAAAATAAAAGACCCCGTAAGTAAACAAGCGGGAGAGCGAGCGAGAGGCAGACCGGGGTAGGGCCACCCTCCATCCCCGCAGCAGCGGGACGGGCTCCGAGGGGCAGCAGCGGCGGCAGGAAAACGGGAGGGAGGGAGGGAGGGAGGAACCGCGGCTCCCCCGCACCGCTCCGCGGAGCCCCGGCCGCGGGGCACGGCTGCAGCCCGGCGGGAGCAGGAGGGACCCTTCGGGAGCGGGGAGAAGCGCTCGCTGCCCGCCCGGGGGCACGGCGGGGCACGGGCACGGGCTGCAGCAGCGCGGGGAGCCGCGGTCCCGCGGCCGCTGAGGTAACCCTGGGGCTGGGGGACACCGCTGCGCTCCGAACCTCATCTTCGGCGCTGCGGAGAGCGCGGAGGGGCGGGCAGCCCAAACTTCTGCCTCTGCCGCGGCTCCTGGGGATGCGGTGCGGTGACACGGGCTGGCCGTGCGGGAGGTGCCAGCTCACGGACACGCTCACGGACACGGACACGCAGCTCCCGGCGTGTTTACTCTCCGCGGAAGGGCGGGCGGGGGCAGCGCTCCTCGGGAAGGGACACCTCGGCAGCGGCGTGCCCGCGGCAGCCCCGCTCGGGGAAGAAGTTCCCGGGCGGAGCAGGCGGGGAGGGCTCGGTGCCGCCGCTTTGAGCCGCCGGCCGTGGCGGCGGACAGCCCCGCCCCGCCCGCTCGGCGGGCAGCGAGGATGAGGATGAGGACGAGGATGAGGATGGTGGCCGTGCGCGGGGGCGGCGGGCGCGTCACTTACCGGCGGGAGGAGGTCGGGGACGGTGTGAGGCAGCCCCGCCGAGCCGGGGGGACTCCCCGCGCAGCCCCCTCCCCGCTGTCACCATATCGCCTTCCTCCTCCGCCTCCTCCTCCTCCTCCTGCTGCTGCCGCTGCCTGCCGGGGTGCCGGCGGCGGCCAGGCGCGGCGCGGCGAGCCTCTCCTCCCCCATTGTTCCCGGTCTCCCTCTCCTTTTTTTTTTCTTTTTTTTCCCCTTTTGTTATTTGCACTCGCATTGTGTTGTTTGTCTCTGAAGCCGCCTCATGACCAGCCAAGGGATTTCACCTCGTCCTTGAGAGACAGACAGCGAGAAGGGGGAAGGGGTGGGAAGAAGGGGGGAGAGAGAGGAAGAGCTCACCAAACACCCATCTCCCGGTCCCTCCCCGCACCTCTGGCTCTCCCCACCCCGCCAGTGTCTCAGTTAGCACCCCGCGCCCGGAGGAGACATGACAGACAGCGGGTAGGTGCGCTGTTCTAACTTTGTCGCTGCCGCTGCCCGGGGCGGGCGGGGGGCGCGCCGGCGGGCCGGGGGAGGCGGCGGGGCCGGCCGGCAGCCCAGCTCGGCCGCTCGCACACCTCCCGAAGTTTGGCACAACTTGTCACGCCCCCCCCTCTCCTCCTCCTCCTCCTGCCGTTCCCGTTCCGTTCCTGCCCCGCTGCCGGGGCTGGGGGCGGGCGGGGGCGGTCCGGCCGCGGTGCGGCGGGGCAGCGGCGGCTCCGCGCCCTGCCCGGGCATGGCTCAGCCCTCGGGATCCCGGCGGACAGGAAGCTTTAAATTATTGTAATTGCCTCTCCGTGCGTGAGTGCCGAGCCCGCCGGGGCGAGCGGGGGGCAGCGGGGCGGGGGCAGCGGCGGGAGCATCGCTGCGTGGGGCTGCCGGGCGCCTCGCTCGCTTCTGCCCGGCAGCAGGGTGGCTCTGGGGAAGGGCGCCGAAGGCTCTCGGTTCGCTCCTTTCGGCTCTTTCCCCCTCGGAAGGAAAGCGGGTCGGGGGGAAAAGCGATTTTCCTTTCCTTCCCTCGGCCCCGCGGGTTCCCGGCGCTGGCAGCGAGCGCTGCCTTCTCTGAAAAGTTCGGGGACTTTATTCCAGCCCGACTGCGATCCTGGAATAAGCGGAGCCGCTCGCCGGGAGGAACGTGATCGGCTTTTCCCAGGGGATGGCACGCTGCCTCAGCCCTGTACTTTGGTCAAGGGTACAACCAATAGCGAGCTGTGGGATTTTGGGTAATAAGTGTGGGAATCTGCAAGAGGAGTAGGTCTAAGAGTGATTTGTTTTCTTACTGCTCATGAATAATGGCCTCGAGCTTTTTTTTTTTTTTTTTTTTTTTTTTAAGAAAAAACAAAACAGGCCAACGAAGTAGGCACGTGGGAGATTTGTAGGCGTTCAACATCGCAATCATCATCATCAACAACAGCAATACAGTAGGGACGTCCGGGAGGATGGTGTCTGATGAGAGCCGTTTTGTCTGAGAGGCTGCTATCACATGCTGGCACAGGTAGCGTTTGCTATCATTGCTGAAACATTGACCTCTTCTAAAAGGAAAGCCAGCAATATCCTAAAATTAGAGAGAAAATGTTTTTTGGTTGATTTTTTTTTTAATTATTATTTTTAGCAGAGCTGCATTTCACTCCATCTCTGTCAGAGAGTGAAATACTAAGTTTAGTTCAGATTGGGAAAGGAAGTTTGATTCCAGCTGTAGAACTGTAGGATAATGTGTCCTGGCTTTCATCCTTCCAGTTTAAATCCAGCTAGCTGTGCACAGCCTTGCTGAAGTGAGCCACTCAGATTAAAAGGCGACTTCTGATGAGGAGCTAGTACAAAGTTTTTCTTACCAAGAGCTGGTACAAAGATTTTCATCAAAGTATTTTATCACCTGAAACTTACGTGGAAACGGCTACTTGTATCTGCTGTTCTTAATCCTTCCCGGGCCTGGAAGATACATTATTGCCTCAGAAATTAATTCTTTGTCCTGCAAGCTGTACCGTTTACAGCCATCAAATTGGAATTGCAGAGGGAGATATTTTAAATTTAGCTATAATATCTGTCCAGGTTAGAGCCAGCTTTGTTTTACAAGGCTCCTGCAGCTGAAGAGGGAGAGGCTGGCACGATGTGTTGCATCTTGCAAATGGATAGCATGTCTATTCTGACATGATTTGAACATGAAAACCCAATAAACACATGGTCATTATGCATGGAAATCTCACAGCAGAGCTTTCTGCTTGCACTTAGACTGTTTTGGTTGAGAGTTACGCTATGAGGAGCACAAGACTTGAAAGCTGCAAGTGGCTTGTGTAAACAGATGGACATTTGAGATGTATTGATGGCTTCAAGTTAATTCAGTTAACATGTGGGTGCACATGTATTTAATTTAGCCTAGTGTAAGTTTTTGTAAGCAAGGGAAGCTCATATGTGCTTTTTAGAAAGAAAGAAGGAGCCTGAGGATTTTGTCTGTAGCTCTTGGAGCTGCAGCTGTAGAGGCTCTTAGGGACTGTGACCCTCCTGTTGTCACAGTCTTGTAGGCCCAGGTGAGACTGAACAGTTTTTCACTGAGGGTAGCTTGCAGATGAATTTTGAAATGGTAAAGTACCCTGTGCTGAGAAAACACAAAAGTGCTTAAACACATCTTCCTGCACCCTTATCGTACGCGCTGCTTGCTAGAACCAGTTAGGTTGAGCAACACCACTAAACTGCCAGCCCTGTTGTTTACAGTGGGACAGTTCCTCAACGCTCAGGGTGAAGAAACCCAGCAGTTTGCTGCTGCTGAGTGTTCCAGGGAGGTTTGGAAGTGGCAGAGCTCTCACTGCACGGAGCACGGGAGGAGCTGGGATTTGGCATCCCCGGCAGTGCTGCTGCACAGCAGCCTGTGTGCAGGAGCTCTGTTTTTGCCTGCAGTTCCTACTCACCCTGAGATAAAACACTCTGATGTTGGCATATGATGCACCAAAAAAACATAGATCGTTTGTTGAAAAATAAGGACTCTGCAGCATTTAGGAGAAAGTAAATGAACAGTCCTTCTAAAAATACAGCAGTATGTTAAAATATTGCCAAAGCACTGCTCTGACGCTGTTGTAATCTGTCATGTTTTTTGACCATTATAAATAGATTAGTATTATTGCAAGGATTTTTTTCCTATTAGCAAAGAAGTTTTCTTTTTCCTGTTTTCGACATGAAGATCCTCACATGTTCCTTGAGCAGGCAGAGCTGTTCTCATGGAGAAGGCAGTGGGAATGTTGCTGGTGAGGAAGTGGGCATCTGGACCCACTGGAATGGCCCTCGTAAAGCCTTTAAGTCTCCTGTACTGCAAGTTCAGGGGTTTTTTGCAATCTGTTTTGCTTAAATTCTCCTTATCTTCAAGGAGTTAGATACAGTCCAGTTAATCACTCAGGATACATTATATAGTCAAGTTCAGACCCAAATTTGGTTTGAATTGAGGCTTGAAACAAGAGTGAGCTCCTTTCCAGCAGCACTGAGGCCCTGGGGCTTTGGAGAGTTTTCTTTCTATTTCACATTGTGCTCAGACCCAAAGTAAATTTCCTTTCAGTTTTGTGACCAAACAGTAGGACTGGGGAAATTGGCAGCCAGATCTGCTTTATTTTGGGAAATTTACTAACAGATAACACCATTCAGGTCAAGATCAGAGCATTAGGCATGCATTGGGCTGCTGGTCGTGCTGCACTTCACCTGCTTTGGGCGCTGTGTGGAGAGCAAAGGCTGCAGGTAAAGTGGATTTCCAGTGATTTATGCACCGTGGAGTCCTCACGGTGCTGGCTGCACCATGGCCATCCTGGATAAGTGTCTGAGGATCACTCTTGCAGTGCCTTCCCCAGGTCTCTGGCCTCTTCAGGCTCGTGCTGAATGCTCAGGGACATGCACAGCACACTCTGTATGTAAAGTGCATTGTCTGAACAAGGTTTTTATTGCTTACAGAGCACTCGTCCTTTCTGGCTGCACAGGTGTCTGGGTGAGGAGACCATACACTTGATGACAGCCTGAGGAGGGTCTCCTGTAATATTTCTGACAGCTTTATTTTCTGTCTCCTCCAGCCTCTTTCTTTTCCTTTGAGCTGCAAGTGTAGATTGAAACGCAGGTAATACATAAGAGGATCCTTTAATATTGGCTATTTTCGGAGGCACAAAGGACAATTACTTTCTCTTCCTACTAACCTCCTGCTGGCTTACTAGCTGCTTGGGAGGCTAGTGATTTTAAGAATACCACTTTACCCAGTGCATCAAATACCGAGCAAATCTTTGCTCACCAAGATCCCAGTTCCTACATCCCATGGTAACACCAAAAATTGAACTTGAGTGGCCCAAAGCGCCAGCCCCTACTGTGAAGACTCATACAACCATCAGCACTTTTGAGAGTTAAATTTGATCCATTGGCCCTGAGCTGTGCTGACAATTGCCAGCTAAAAGACCTTTCAGTGAATTGTCCTTTAATAGAACTCTTCCCCTCCCCCCATTCCCATTTCCTGTTGTTCTTTTAAATAAAAAGAAATCCTGGTGACAAAGCTAAAGTGTATTCTGTCATTATTGTTTGAGGAATAAAGTATTTGTCTATATTTCAAGGAAATTAATTGCCTGAGAAGTGGAGGTCAGAGTTATTTTACAAGGGTAGTATTCTTCACTACTGCAAAATCTCAAGGAAAATTCCTCACACTATTTAAATTATATATTTCTGTACTAGTATTTGATCCTTTTAATGATTTCAGTTAAAATACACAGGAAAGTCAGTACTGTGTTAATGCTGCCCTGGTCTGAGAAAGGACACTGAACACTTGGACCAATCTGTTCTGGTTTGTGAGCGTGTCCTGAGAGAATCTGAGCAGGCTCAGTGGGCCAGAGCAGTTTGGTGACATTTTGTAGCTTCTGCAAGGAGCAGAGCCAAATAAGACCTCATCTCATAGAGGAGTGATTTCCATTGCTGTCTCCTGGTGCCTAGAAAGGTAATCCAGGTTTTACCTGAAATGGGTCTGAAAGGTTTTAGAGATGCTCATGTCTGACTCATTAGGCTTAGATTTGCCCCATGTACACAGAACTTGGCTTTACCAGTCCAGGCCTAGTGGGATGTGCAAGGTATAACTGGAGTATTACTAAAATTTTATTTAAGGTCATACTACTGCTCTTATGGCAGTGATTTTGGTGTTGCATTTAATTTAATTTAATTTAATTCAAACCCAGATTCTCAGCTTTTGGGTTAAGCAGGTTGGAAGGATGGCTAGACAGCAATGAGCTGATGGGATAGGTGAAATTGCCAGCTCATAGCTGACTCCTTCTCCTTTAAGTTGCTTTGCCCGTGTTTTGGTGGAGAGGGGACAAAATTCAGATGAGCTTGCTCTGCTCAGAAGCTTTGAAACAGATTTAAATATGGCTTGCAATACCTTCAATTTCTACAGGGAGTAAGTGAACAAAACAGCTTTAAATTAAACTGAGTGCCATATTGTAGTTTGTAGCAGTTGGACTAAAGATACATTTAATTAAACTGGTTCAATTTCTAAACTAGGGCTATGGAGTCTACCTTTTACACTGCTATAAAATCCTTGGGTATGAGCAAGCTTTCAGTGTAATGAAAAAGGCTGGGGGACACACTTGTGATCCCCAGCTAACCAATTAAATATTTACTTAAAAAGGATCTAGAATTTAATTTCACAATCCATTTTTTTTAAAAAATGAAAGCAAAATACCTATTACATGGCTAAGTCAGTGCCTTTAGTCAGTGAATAGAAGAGTTGCTTTTCT